ATATTCGTTATATTTGTTCCAATTGATTTTAAGAGATGTTTTTCGAGTAAAGACATTGTTGATTTTTCCAAAGCATCCTTATCAAAAGTATCTAAACCTTTTTTAAATAATAAAAAGTTTGAGTAAAGAGAATTGAATTGAGTTAAAAGTTGTTTATGTTGTTGTTTTCTTTCCTTCATTGCTTCGTTATCTATTCTATCCTTTGCCTCCTTTTCCATAGTCTCCCATGTTTTGTTTACTAAAGGTCTAAGATACTGTGTTAAACTTTCAATAAGCTCTTTATCCATATTACCATACCATTTTTTTAACAACTGTGTAATTTCTTGCAAATGATCCAATTTTTTATTTGATGCCTTCTTTTGTTGTTTTAAACCAATAATTTCATATTCTTCATCGTCTTTGTGTTTTTTATTTGATTTTACATTCTCCTCATCTGATGATGAAGCATTTGAATCGAAATCTGGGGGTGGTTGTTGTTTACCTCTACTTTTAACTTTGTTATTTGGTTTTTTACTTGCTTTATTTGATGATGTTGTTGTAGTTGCTGACTTTTCCTTTTCTTCCTCTAAAAACTCTTTATAATTTTCAATTTTTTCTTGAATTGTATTTTTTAATAATGAAAAGCAACGATCAATAAAGGTTTTACTAATAATATAATTGTCATTTAAAACTATTGCTTTTTCTTCAAAACTATTTGTTATTTTCATATTTGGGCAATTTGAAATTAAAAGTGAAATATCTTTATTTGTTAATGGTGATGGTACTAATGGCTATATTTTTTTTAAATAAAAAAAAAATGGTTAATAAATTATTTTTTTATTATTATTTTTAATAAAAAAAAACCTACCAAAATTTCTAACCAAGAAGAATTTTCGATAATATCTGTAATGCTATCATCGATTTTATCTATTATAGAGTTATTTATAAAGGTTGAAGATAATGCTATGCCATTTTTAAAATTATTTTTTAAATAAGAAACAGGATCATTAATTTGAAACTTTAATAGTGAGTCAAAAGTTATAAATTGATTTTGATTATAAAAAGTTTCAATCCATTTTGATCTTTGGCTAGAAAAAATATTTGGTATATATTCTGCATTATTACCTTTACCTTGAATTATACCCTGAATTCTTTTTGAATCTATTAATTGCTGTAACTGTTGAACAACCAATCTTTCATTGAACTGATATTGAATTGGTTGTTTTCTAATGAGTTGCAAGATTATACAAGGCTGAGTTACTGATGAAAATAAACCCATTACTTTATGATAATGTCTGTCGATATGAGCTTGAGTATAGAGTACCTCTTGTGAGTCAAATACAGCATTTAAAGATTTACCGACTCTGGATTGAATAATATCTGTTAATAAATCGACGCCTAATGAGAATCTATTTGATAAATCGTTTATATGTAATTTGCCAACTTCCAAAAGCTGCTCTTGAATTTCTTGAACCACAGAGTCTAAATAATACTTTGTTAACAACTCTCCTTGGTAAATTTGAAGTGAACGACCCTCCTTCTTTTTTATTTGAACAATTGCATCTTGAATATAGCTTGAATCAACATTTAATAATGGCTGTAAATCTGTTATAACTACTCTACCACCCGATCTTAATATCTCATCTTTAATTTCAAACTCTAGTTGCTTTGGTGTAATATATTCCTTACCATCCAAACTAAATATAATATCCACCATCTTCAAATCTATCATTTTCAAAATAATCTCGATACTATTTCTTTCTGATAACTTTTGATCGATCTTATCTTTTTGTATTAAATATAATTTTTTTCTTAATAATTCCTATTTATAATTTTAAAAATTAGTATTATTTCTTTCCTTTTTTTTTTTTTCTCTCAATTATTAAATAAATAAATAGTTACCAATTCCTCCATTTTAAAACTAATTTATTATTTAAAATAATAATTTTATAAACAAGTAAAAATAAAAAAAAATGAAATGAAATGAAAAAATTTAAAAAAAAAAAATAGAAAAAAAAATAAATTAAAAAAAAATTAAAATTTAATTTAAAAGTGATAAAAATGAAATAAAAAACCATTTGTGAAAAAATAAAAATAAAAAATAAAGATAAAACTATAAATATAAAATATATAATATAAAATATAAAATATAAAATATAAAATAATTGAATTTTATTTTTAAATTTAAAAAAAAAAAAAATTTTAAATTTAATTAAAATTGTAGTTTTAAATAAATTTAAATAAATATATTATATTTGTTGGGTTGTTGTTTGTTGGTGATTTTGTTTTTTTATTCTTCATCATCAAACATTTTACTGAAAGCTTTTTTAGCTTTGTCGTCAATTGATTTTTGTAATTTTAATACTCTTGAAAGTTCGTTTGAAGCATCTTTGTTTTGTGGATCTTTTTCAACAATAGCTTTTAAATCTTTGGTTGCTTCGTCATATTCTTGTAACAAAGTGTTTGCTTTAGCCTTTCTGAATAAAGCTTTTTGATCATTTGGTGAAATTTCTAAGGCTTTTTTACAATTTTCGAGAGCTTCTGAACCTTTCTTTTGGTTGAGATAACATTGTGCCATATTATTGTAACAAACGGTTTGAATTTGTTTAAGACCATCGATATTACTACAACAATCTAAATATCTAAGTGACTTTTTATATTTACCAATAGCTTCATTAAGTTTACCTTCTTTGAAATAATTGTTACCTATATTTTTAATTGATTCACCAACCTTGAGGAATCCTTGATCACCACCTTCAACATTTTCATCTTGTGGAAAATCTTCCCAACTATCACCATCAGCTTTGGCTGGTACTCCATCATCTTGACCCTCTTGTAATTCACCACAATCAATGATGGTACAATCAAGTAATGGTTTATCACTTTCAGTTGGTTGTTCTTCGATTTGTCTAACGACACCCATACCTTTAATAACTCTACCAAAAACAACATGTTTACCATCTAAATGTGGAGTTTCAGTAGTTGTAATAAAAAATTGTGATCCATTAGTACCTGGACCTGCATTAGCCATACTTAATAAACCTGGTCTAACATGTTTATTTTCAAAATTTTCATCTATAAAAAATTTAAAAATAATATTAATATTAATACTTTTTTCAATACATCTAAAAATGATTTTAAACTATTTATAAATTTTACCTTCGAATTTTTCACCATAAATTGATTCACCACCAGTACCATTACCTGCAGTAAAATCACCACCTTGAATCATAAAGTTGCTGATAACTCTATGGAATTTTGAACCCTAAATAAAAACAAAAATTAAAAATTAATAAACAATACTATTAATTGTTGTTTTTATTATTGTGGTTGTTGTTTTAAAATGTAAACTTACTTTATATGAAAGTGGTTTACCACTCTTACCAATACCTTTTTCACCGGTACATAATGCTCTGAAATTTTCTGCAGTTTTTGGAGTTTTATCATAATATAACTCCATTACAATTCTGCCGACTTTTTCATCACCGATTTGAACATCGAAATAGACTCTTTTATTTTGATTTGACATTTTACTTAATTAATCAATTAAATTGTGAATTTGAAAATAAAAATTTAAAAAAAAAAATTTGAAGAAAATTTTGGAAAAAAAAAAAAAAAAGAAAAAAAAAAAAAAAATTTTTATAGTAATAATTAAAATTATTTTTGGATCTCAATTATTTTAAAGATTTATTGTATTTGGTTAACCTCTTAATAAAACCCTTAATTTTTGTAATTCAAATAACATATTCTATTTCCGAATTGAAAATATATAAATATAAATTATTTTTTTATTTTTATTTTTTATTTTTATTTTTATTTTCATTTTTTTTATTTTCATTTTTTTTTTTTTTTTTTTCAATTTTTTTTTCAAAACTATTTTTTTTTTTATTTTTTTTTTTAATTTTTAAATTTTTCTCAAATCCTATTGAAGGGTAAACTATATAACTTAACTTTTTATATTCAATTGTTTGTATTTTTTTTTTTTTTTTTTATTCTATATTTTATATTTTGTTATCTATTTTTGTAAATACCTTTAAAAATAATTTTATATCGAGGGAAAAAATAATAAAAATAATAAAAAATAATAAAAATAATAATAATAAATTCAAATTGTTCACTTTCACACACACTTGCTCACACACCCAAATTGGAAGACCACATATGGTTAGTGTGTATTGCACATACAATTATTGTTTTATAACATGTTATTCTTTTATTTATATCACTAAATAAAATATAAAAACACACTCTATTTTAAAAACACACACATTCAACATGTATCGATTTTTTTAAAAAAAAATTTTTCGTTTTTTTTTTTTTTTTTTTATTATTATTTACACACACACACATAAAAAATTATTAAAAAAACAATTATTTTAATAATTAGAAAAATAAACTATTTGTTAAATTTTATTTATATTTTTATTTTTAATTTTATTTTGTTTTAAATAAAAAAAAAAATTAGTATTTATTTATAATATAATTTTTTATTTTTTCTTTTATTTATTTCTTTTTATATATTTATATATAAAAAAATATTTTTTTTATAAAAATATTTATCATCTAATTGTTTGTATTTTATATAAACTTTTTTTTTTTCAACTTCTTTATTTTTTTACATTTTTGATTTTTTTATTATATTTTTATAATAAATTTATCGTTTAACGTTTTTTTTTTTTTCTTAATTTATTTTAAATTTAATTTATTTAAATTTAAATTTTTTTTATTTTTTTATTTTTTCAATAATTCACAATTTAAAATTTTTTTTTTTTTTTTTGTTCTTTTTTTTTTCTTAATATTATATACAATTTATATATATATAAATTATTAATAAATAAAAAAAAATTATTTTTTTTTATTATAGATAAAATTTTAATCAAGAATTAGTCATTTTATGCCAATTGGAAATAAAAACGAAAACGATGGTAGCCCCCTGAATGAATTTTCAGGGCTCTCCATCTCAAATGAAAAAGGAAGCTCAAGCAGTAACTCTACCACTAGCGAACCATATGTTCCACCATCAAGAAGAAACAAGATGAGCGGTAATCAAGGTTCAAGAGACAATGATAACAATTCACCATATGACTCTAGACAAGGTGAAAATAGATTCTCTAATGATTCTCCATTTAACAGAAAAGCCGGTTTCGAAAACCGTGGTAATGATGGAAGAAGAGATAGTAACAACTATAATAATAATAGAGATTATAAGAGTCCATCATTCTCAAGAAATAACAACTGGGGTGATAACAACAACACCACCAACAACAGAGAACCACCAAGAGGTGGCAATTACACCTATTCACCAAACAATTCTTTCAATCGTCAATCAGGCGCCTCAGGAAACACTTTTGGTAATAGAAGTAGCTCATTCGGTAAACCAGCCAACAAAAATGATCGTTACTACGATAGATGGAATCAATTTAAAGATACTAGACATTTCCCAGATATGAAGGTAAATATTCACATATAATAATAATAATAACAATAATAATTAAATATTAATAATTATTTCTTTTTTTTTTTTTTTTTATTATTATTTTAGAGAGAAATTATCGATTTAGAAGAAGATAAAGTTGAAGAAATTTTCAAAACAAATGGTAATGTTGGTATTGATTTCAACTCTTATGATGACGATGATATTTCAATTGAAACCAGTGAACATATTTGTGCTCCATTAATTTCTTTCACCGATGTTGATTTAGGTGATGTTATTCTCAGTAACATTAAATATGCCAAATACACCAAACCAACTCCAGTCCAAAAGAGTGCTCTTCCAATCATCTTTAAAAACAGAGATCTCATGGCTTGTGCCCAAACTGGTTCAGGTAAAACTGCCGCTTTCCTTTTACCAATCATCTCTGGTATCCTTTTAGATGGTGCCCCAGAACCACCAGCTTCATACAAACCAGGTGTTCCACGTGCTGCTGCTCCACGTGCTCTTGTTCTTGCCCCAACTCGTGAACTTGCTCAACAAATTTACAACGAAGCCAATAAATTCTCTTATGGTTCACCAATCCAATCCGTCGTCATTTATGGTGGTGCTGAAGTATTCAACCAAATTAATGAACTCGACAAAGGTGTTGATATCTTAGTTGCCACTACTGGTCGTCTTGTCGATCTTTTACTCCGTGGTCGTGTCACCCTCTCAAAAATCAAATATTTAGTATTAGATGAAGCCGATCGTATGTTAGATATGGGTTTTGAACCACAAATCCGTCAAATTATTGGTGATTTCGATATGCCAGGCTCAAGAGACCGTCAAACTCTTATGTTTTCAGCCACTTTCCCAAAACAAATCCAAGCTCTCGCATCCGATTTCCTTTCAAATTATATCTTCCTCAAAGTCGGTGTCGTTGGTACCACCCAAAATATCACCCAACGTATTGAATATGTCAGCGAAGAAGAAAAGAATAGCTATCTTTTAGACTATATTTCTGGTTTAAATATTGATGGTGCTCTCACTTTAATTTTCGTTGAAACTAAACGTTCATGTGATACCTTAACTTTCTTCTTAAATAACCGTGGTTTCCCAGCTACTTGCATTCATGGTGATCTCACCCAAAGCGAAAGAGAAAACGCACTTCACAGTTTCAGCTCATTCCAAACTCCATTTTTAGTTGCAACTGATATTGCTTCAAGAGGTCTTCATATTCCAAACGTTATGGTCGTAATTAACTACGATTTACCAACAGATGTCCATATCTATGTTCATCGTATCGGTCGTACCGGTCGTGCAGGTAAAAAAGGTTTATCAATTTCATTCTTCAATGAAAAGAACAAACCAGTTGGTGGCGAATTACTCAAGTTACTCAAAGCCTCAAATCAAGAAATCCCAGATTGGTTTGAAAAGATGGTACACCAACTCCGTCTTGTTAAAGGCCCATCAACTCAAAAATCAAAATACGAATCACCTTTCAACAGATCATATAACAACCATAGAGATGACCGTAATGATAACCGTGATGTTCGTGATACCCGTGACAACCGTAGCTATAGCAACAACAATAATAGCAGTCGTGGTGGTAATGAAAGAGGCAATGAAAAATCAAGCAATGATTACTCAATGCACCACCCATACTTCAACACTGGCGGTTCATACAATTAAATTATAATCTTTTAAATAAATTCATTTTTATAACTTAAAAATTAAAAATAAAAAAAAAAATTTCGTTCTTTTATTTTAACATTATTATTAGGGATCGCCTGTTAATGTTTTTATAAACAAAAAAGAATTAAAAATAATATAACAAAACTTCATAATATTTTACAACATAATTTTTTTTTAATAAAAAATAAAATAAAAAAAATTACCAAAAAATTTTTTATCTTCAAATTTTTTTTCATTTTTTGGAAAATTGTTGATTTATTCAAAAAAAAAAAAAAAAAAACAAATTTAGATTCTAAACTCGTATAATTATAATAAAGAAAAATGGAACGAAATAATTTTATTGGATAAAATCATATGATTGTCCCCTCCAAAAAAAATTTTCAGATATTTTTATAATTTTTTTTTTTTGAAATAAAAAAAATAATAATAAAAAAAAAACTATTATTGGTTTTTTGTAATGTGGACGCGGTGACTATTTTTTAATAGCTCGTTATTAATGAAAAACTCATTATTTTTAATGTTACTATCCAGTTTGATTGAATCTAAAATTAGCCAATAAAACTATGTTCATATTTTTTTTTTAAATCAACCATTGAAAAAAACTCAAAAAAAGATTTTTTTTTTTTTTTTATTATAAATTTTTTTATAAATTAAAAATTTGTTGCAATGATTAAATGATTTTAATGACAAAAAAAAATCAAATAAACTATGATCCAATCAAAATAGTTATAGCAACACGGGGAACTATAAGAAGTGATAAGAAATTTCAATAAAAAAAATAATATCTTGTAATATTTTTTTTTATTATTTTATTTTTTTTTTCAACATAATAAAAAAAAATATAAATTTGAAGTTTTTTCATTTTTTTTAATCATTTCAAATTAAAGCCATGTACCACTACTTCTAAAACATACCAATACTAACTGTATCACTACTTCTGTAACATTACTTTTGTAATACTACTCCCTGTACCACCTATGTAACATTACATTATTTTTTCAAATGGAAAATAGTAAATATTTAATCATAACCATTTTAATATTAAAATATAATATATTAATTTTTTATTTCTAAATATAGATAAACTATCTTTTTTTTCAAATTCATAACGATGATGCTTCATACTCCAACCGGAGCCACCTAGTTTTCAAAATTTGGAATGAAAAAAATAAATAAAATAATAAACAATCCTTTTGGATAATTTTTTTTTTCCAAAATAATTTTTTATTTAAAAACTTGTTTAAAAATAAATTTATTGACTAAAAAATATTATTTTTTTATTTTTTTTTTTTTTGTATTTATTTTTTTTTATCACTTTTAATAATATAAAATTTTTGGAAGATAAAAAATATTAATGAAAATATTTTATTATCATTTTTCTATAAAAAGTTATATAGTTTTATTTTTTGTTTTTATTATAACTTTTTTTTTTTTATTTTTTTTTATTTTATTTTTTTTATTTTTTTTAAATTTTTTTTTTATTTTTTAAAAATTTTTTTATTTTTTTCTTTTATTTTTTTAATTTTAAATTATTTTTATACACAGAAAATTTACTTTTTTCACCATCAAAATAAAACATTTATAGCTCAATCATTGTAAATTTACACATATTTTAAAGATTTAATAATATTCTTGAAATTTTAAATAAAAATATATAATAATACGTTAAATTTTACATAATAGATCCTATACATAGAATCAAAATAATAATATAATACACTCACACATTATTCCATACTATTTATTATAATTTAAATATTTAATACCCTTTTTTTTTGTTTTTTTTATGTAAAATATTTAATAATTTATTTATTTTATTTAATTAAATAATTAATTAATTAAACATTTATATTTAATAATAATAAAACAGTAGGAATATTTATATGTATAATAATAAAATTAATAATAGTAAAATATAGTTTAAAATAATATATAAATTTATTTACATTGTATAGTATAAAAAAAAAATAATTAATAAAATTATATATTTTTTAAAATATATAAATATATAATAATATATGAAAAATGGTATCACCAAATACAAATAATGGTAATAATACCACTAACACTACATCATCAAATGGTAAATATTAATAATGGCAATAATAATAATAATTTAATCTAAAATAAAAAAATATTAACAATAGTTATAAACTTTATTGATTTAGAATATTTAAATATAGTTGAAATGCCAACATTATCATTAAAATTAGCAAACGATTTAATTTTAGAAATGGATAGTTTAATTAAAGCAGATTTAGCAATGTTAGAAAAATTTTATACAACAGATTATAAAGATGTACCATTTGAAAGAGCGATAAATAAAGCAAAAAGAAAATATGAAAAGAGGAGAGGGCCAACACTTATCAAACCATTAAATAAAACCAAAAAGAGAATGATAGTTGGAGATATGGAATATGACCCCAAAACTCAAAGTTGGAGAGGAAATGAAAGTGACTTAGCAGGATTTCCAAACCCACCAGCACTTATTACAAATATGGGTAAAGCAGATGAACGTGTATTAGGTTCGATGAAATGGGATCCAAATCAAAAGGAATGGAAAGGAAATGAAAGAGATTTAACCAAATTTAGATTTTTAAAACCTGCCCTCATTAGTCAATTAACACCAAGTGAATCACGTGTCGAAAATGGTATGGTTTATAATGCTAAAACAATGCGTTGGGAAGGTAATGAGGATGCTTTGGATGCCTTCGAGACTATGGATGAACAAAACAACGATCAAACATTTAGCGTCGGTAAAGAGTTTAACTTAACACCAGCATTGGTTGCATCATTCAAAAACTCTGCTGAACAACATAGAAAATCTTTGGGTGGTTGGTTCTCGCACAGATATCTTGAGGACCGAAATTATTTATATAGTATTAGATCTATGTCAATTATGAAGATTGTTAGATCTGCAGCATTTAAAGGTGGGGCTGGTTTGTCCCCAAACTCTTCAGCAAATCAAATGGTGTCGATGGGTTCACCAGGTGGTCCTGGTATCATATCTTTAATACCAAACAAAAAGAAACCTGTAGTAGATGAAACTAAAGATTGGGATGATATAGATTTTAATCAAGAAAAACCTGCACTAAAGTTAAATTTAAAGATTCATCTTGATGCCGATGACGAAATGAACGAATGTTGGGACAAGGGATTCACCTCTGAAGAAGAGACTATGTCATCAAATAATGAAGCTGGTGGTCAATTTTCATCGTCTTCACAACCACACACCCCCAGAAAAGCACCTGTAGAAGAATGGTCCGATTTTGACAATACAATGAACTCCACAATCACCGGTAAAATTATTCAATTAAATAAAAAAGATAACTCATCATCAAGTTTAAACAACATAAGCAATAATAGTTTAAATAATTTAATAGGTAGTTCAAGTAAAACGTTTGATGACGATGATGAAGATTTTGATTGGAGCAGCAGTAATAATAATACTTTAAATAGTTTAAATAATACAGCAAATAGTTCAGGTACAATTGGATTAGGTGGCACTATAACAAATTTAAATAGTAAAATTAAAAAGGGTGGTAGTCTTAAAGGTGGTGTTATTGGTGGTTCTGGTAGCACAAGATCAAAAAAAAGTAGTGATAAAAAACGTGGTGGTACATTCAACATTCAATCTTTCGCCTCTGCTTTATCTGGTGGTAATGCAAACACTCCATTAAGTTCAAGTGGCAGCACTATTGCCGGTAGTGGTAATGTAAATGAAATCTATGACGAATTTCAAGTTCCAAATGGAGGTGTTTTATCTTTAAAAAATAAACCACACCAAGATAATTTTGATCTCTTTGAAAGTGACTCATCAAATCAAAGACCATCAAAAGATGAACCATGCGACGAAACAATGAAGTTTTTTGAAAATGATAAAGAAGTTTTTGAAGAAGATTGGCCAGATGTACGTCTTCCAGCTGACTTTGGAGCTAAAAAGAATCAAGAATCAAGAAAATCTCCACCAATTAAAAATAATCAAGTCGAGGATTACTCTGATGAATTAGATATCCCCCAACTTAATCAACCATTAAAATTAAAATCTCATCATTTAATTGATAATCCTTTTGATGATGACGATGATTTGGATTTTGGTAATGATAAGGATAATGACACCTGGGATGATGTCTCTTTCCCAGAAAATCCTTCACAATTAATTTCTTCAACTTCAAAATTACCAAAACCTTTACCAATTAATATAAATAATAATAATATAAATAATATAAATAATATAAATAGTTTAAATAATATAAATAACTTAAACAATATAAACAATATAAATAATAATAAAACAACAACTACAACAACCACAACCAATAATATATTTCAAACTCCATCAAAATTAAATAATATAAAGTCTTTAAATGAAACTCCAGCAAAATTTCAAACCCCAATAACTTTTAGACCCTCATTTACACCAAAAACAATAGATGAAATTTTAAAATCTCCTGAATCACCTTCATCTCCATTTAAATCAAAACCAAAATAAAAGTTTTGATTTTAAATAAAATAAAAATTTAATGTAATAATTATTATAAAATTGTATAAAACTAAAATATTTTTATTAGTAAAATAAATAAATAGAAAATAAAATAATATACCAATTTAAAATTTTTTTTTTAATATTTTATAAAAATATTTTATAAATAAAATAACAATATAATTAATATTTTTATTTATTTATTTGAGTTGTTTTTAGAATTATTAATAAATAATAAAAGAATGTTTTAATTTCTTTCTATTTTTTTTGTTGTTTAAATATTTAATTTCTTTGATGTTATTATTATAATTTGATTGTTTACATATGATAAAAAAGAAAGGATATCTTTTTTTATCATTTAATATTAAATTTTTTTTTTTATGATTTTTTTTTTTTTTTTGGTTATTGTATACAAAAATGATTTTTTAGATCATTAAAAATTATTATTGATGATTATTAAATTTCTACAAATATTTACTATTAAAAAGTTGTTTATAAAAAATGATTACTATTGTTTGTGTTGTATGATTACTGATGATATATAACGTTTTTTTTTTTTTTTGATGTTTTTTTTTTCAAGTCACTTTGATTTTATAATTTGGTTGGAGATAAAGAATTATTTGATTGGCTAGAGTTTGAAGATTGGTTACTATGAACTAAATTTGTACGTGGGGTGCATGGTTCACTTAATTGATAATAAGAATCTGAAACAAAACCAATTGGGTTATTCCAAGCAATATCTTTAAGTTTTGAAACCACATAGCTAAAGTTTGGTCTGTCATTTGGATCTGCTTCCCAACACGATTGAAGAAGGGTTCTTAATTCTGGGTCACAAAATTCTGGAATGGGTGGTCTTAAACCTGCATAGGCTACTTGAGCAGAGGCTTGTGAACCATCCAATTCAGAGAATGGAATTTCACCAGTTAAAATTTCCCACACTACCAAAGAGAAGCAATAGACATCAACCTTTTCGCTATAATGGCCAAGATTTTTAGTAATTTCTGGAGGTCTCCATCTTGGATTACAAATGCCGCCATTAGTCATTGTCATTGAACCTTCACGACTCTTTTCACGACTAAGACCAAAGTCGGATATTTTTATATTTCCAAATTCGTCCAAAAGGATATTCTGGCTAGTTAAATCTCTGTGGACAATTTGAATTGAGTGGAGGTGTAAAAGTCCCAATGCCATATCTGTAGCCATCTTTAAAACCAATGGAAAAGAGTATTTAACCTTTGGTGTATTTGGATTATGTAAAATACTATAAAGACTACCCCCACTCATATACTCTGTTATTATACAAGCTGGTTTATAACATGCACCAATAAACATTACAATATTCTGATGGTTGCCATTCTTTAAATTTTGGACCTCTCTAATAAATCTTTCTTTAAACTGCTCTTCATCCCCAATAATTTTTAACTTTTTGATTGCTACATGAATATTGTTCCACCATCCTTCCCATACCTCACTAAAAGCCCCTTCTCCAACCTTTTGAATAAATTGGATATCTGCAATATCAATAATATCTTCCCTATCGCCCAAAATGGATTTTAATTCTTCAAATTTATTTTTTTTCATCTTTTCATTTTCAATTGCTTTTTGAATATCATTTAGCTATAAAAAAATATAAAAAAAATTATTAATAATTTGTTATATTACAATTTAAAATTTTATAAACTTACAGATTCTTTATTACTTGGAGAGTTAAATAATGAATCAGAAATTGATCTACCTCTTGGTCTTGCCATTGCTGGAGCTAAATGTTTGTTCATATTTGATGCGGAAATAATTGATGATGTATTGGAAACATTACTTTTTTCCTTAACTGAATCTGGGTTGTCACTAACAAGAAAAGTAATATCCTTTGAATCTTCATCTTTTTTACTGTGGATTGAATGATAACTTTCATTACTAGTGCTACTGTTATTATTTGCGCCATTATTGGATGCTCTAATAATTGAGTTACTTGCCGATGATTTATTTAAACTTTCTGCAATCATTGAGTTTAGTTCTGAATTGGTGATTGAAATTGAATAAGTCATTTCTTTGGCTTCATAACTTATATCTTTAATAACTGAAAATGATGAATTTGAATTTGAAAGAAAACTGCTTAAATTATTATTTTCATCATAATTGAATAAAATATTATTATTTACATTACTGCTACTACCATTCATAAAGCTATTGAAATTATTATTGTTGTTACTATTTTTAGTTTTATTATCCTTTTTATTAACCTCTTCATATTCGTATTCTTCATTATTATCCTCTTCTTCTTCCTCTTCATTTTTATTTTTTACTAATTCTTCTTCTTCCTCTTCGTTTTGAACCCTGCTAATTCTAATGCTATTATTACTATTACTAGAGGCATTGGTATTGTTGTTACTATTGTTATTGTTTAAAAATGAATTATTTACTGAGCCATTACTATTTGTAATGTTTTTATAACTGTTATTAAATGGGCTATTTGAATTGTTATTGATTCCTTGATTATTTAAAAAAGTGCTAATAAGTGATTTATTAAAAAGATCTGATGTTGAGCCCAATGATGAAGCTAAGAATTGGTTTGATTGTAATGGTGTTTGTTGAGATTGTTGTGGTGGTTGTGGCAAAAATGATTGTGGTTGAAATTGTGTTGGTTGTGATGGTGATTGTTTTGGTTGTAATGGTGATGACTCTGGTTGAGTTTGGTGTTGTGGTAAAGATAAAGCAGACATTGATAAAAATGTATTGAAACTATTTACATTATTATTATTATTATTATTATTATTATTATTATTATTATTATTATTATTATTATTATTATTATTATTATTATTATTAAAACTATCACTATTATAATTTGTCCATGATGGATCTGGAATATTATCATTATTTTCATTATTTTTATTATTCATACTATTATTATTTGAATTATTATTTTCAATGTTATTAACATTACAAATACTATTACTATTATTACTATTATTATAACTATTATGATTTAATTTATTATTATTTATATTTAAAATTAAATTTCCATTGCCGCTATTTAAAACTATACTATTATTATTTGGTGTATTTATAATATTTATCCCACTATTTACTAAAAATTGTTTATTATTATGATTTTGTAAAACTGTTGCTGGAGAAGAAGATCTGGAGGCACTTGCTAAAGTTATACTAAGGTTTTTGTGTAAATCTAAAGATGATGCGCTTGTTGGTTCAACTGATAAAGATAATAGATGGATTTGTTTAGTCATGTGATGATTACAATTTTCACAAACAATTGAAGCATCTTGAACTGAATGGCTGGCTAAACTTTGTAATGTACTGATATTACTATAAAGGGATAGTGTTGAATTGGATTTAGTTGATTCATTATCGAATGAATATTTTTTAATATCACTAGAGGAATCTTTACTACTGTGGGTATCTTTTTTATTTTTATGTGAACTTTGATTATTGATATTATTATGTTGCTGTTGTTTATTTTTTTTACTGCTATCAGCATCATTACTATTATTTAGTGAGCATGTTGATACATTATCATTTTCTTCATATTCATTGTTGTTATTTATTATTTCACTATTATTATCATTATTAAAATTTCTTTCGCTATTTGAGCTATTATGTTTACAATGACCCCTTTGAATATGATTTGAATCTTTATTTTCCTTTTCTTCAATTTCCATCGAATTTAAATCCAATGCCAATTCGTCTGCTAAATAATTATTTGTGGGTGATGAACATGTCGAAGATTTTGAATCTGTTGATAAATTTCTTTTATTTGCTCTCTTATTTGCTTTTTGGGGCTTCTGCTTATCAATATTCTTAAAATTTGGGCTATTTGTGTTACTAGTAGCGGGTTTACTAGATGTCATACCCATTTTATTTTTATACAATTTTTTTTTTTTTTTGTTTCTTTTTTATATATAATAAATTATATATAATAATATATAAAAAAAAAAAAAAAAAAAAACTATTTATCAACTATTATGTATTATTAACTATTTTCTTTATTTATTATTTCTTGTATATTCTATTTAAAACTTTAGTGAACCAATAAAAAGAAAAATTAATATTAAATTCTTTTAAAAATTATTTTTGTTTGATTTTATAAGAAAAAAAAAATGACCAAAATTTTGGGCTATTGTGATAATTTTATTATGTTATATTTATTATCTATTATTTATAATTTATTTATATATTTATTATTTTTATTATTTTATTATTTATTATTTTATTATTATCTAATAACACATATGCAATAATAAGTAGTTAAAAAAAAAATTATACTGTCAGTGTATAGCCAGATAACAAACAGGAATTTAAAAAAAATTAAAAAAAAAAAAAAAAAAAAAAATCTTATGTTTTTGAATGTTTTTTTTAATTATTATTTTTTTTTTATTTTTTTTTTTTTGAGCTATTTATTTTTTTTATTTTTTTTTTTTTTTATATTATCAATTATTTTGTGTTATTTAAAAATTTATCAAAATATACATATATAACCAACAAAATTTACACAACGAACCCTACATTACACTAACCACTATTTACACTATTAATACTATTTTTCCAATACTCTATAAAATCGTGAAATTCGATAAATACCCAAAAAAAAAAAAAAAAAACCTACATTATAATTGAGGCAAAGATTTTTTAAAAAAAAAAAAATTTTAAAAAATAAAAATAAAAAAAAAAATAAATAAAACTAGTTATTTGCAGAATTTGCCAATAATGTAATATAACAACAAAGCACCTTCTGCCCTTAAAAACAACAACTGACAACATTAAAAAAATAAATAATATCAAAATGAAAAAAAAACAAATGAGATAAAAGATAATTAATAAAAAAAATACACATAACAAAGATGGCTATTAAAACAAATACTTTTTATCTATTTATATATATCTGTCAATTTTATCGAATATATAGAATAATATTATTATTTATTAAATGCTGAATATTATTAATATTAAAAAAAAAAAAGAATCTGTAATATTTATTATCTAAAATAATTATAAAGAATCCTTTCGATTTTACTTTATCTTTAACAAATAAAAAAATAATAAGAGGGAATAAATTTTGATAACAACAAATAATATTATTAATTTTCGACAAAAACAATAATTAGAAAATAAAATAAAAAATAAAAAAAAATAAAATTTGTTGAAAATTGAAAAAAATTCTCTTTGGTAAAATCTACACCTTTGAAAAAAAGAACCTTTTTTTTTTTGTGATTGCAATATTTATTAAATTATTATTTTTATTATAATTTTTTATTATTATTTTTAAATAGATTTTTATTATTATTGCTATTGTTATTGTTATTATTATTATTAATTACTGACCAATGGGTGCATTTAAAAGTTATACCATTAATTACAAATAAAAACATAATGTTGTATTAAAAATGTATGAAATAATATTAAATAATTTTTTTTTTTTAACCCACAAAACTATAAAACTATTAAAACTATAGTAAACTAAAATATTTCTTTTTCTTTTTTTTTTTTTTTGATTTCTAAAAATAATAT